CTCTTAGCTAACTAGCCTAAACTCAGTAACAGAATGTGGGCAACACGTTCTTCTCCACAGCCGCGCCACCTCTGAGTCAGACATCACTTCCCCCTTTTCTATCCTACGGGTACAGCCGTACAGCCACTCCCCCTCTCCCGTTCCCTGCCAGCCCCCCCCCCCCCTCTCCCCTATGCAAGCCCCTCCCTCTGAACCCAGGGCTCGCTACAATACTGTATACTGTATACAAAAACGCCTTTACGCCTTGGAGCTTGTTTATCCATCTGTAAGCAACTGCCAGCTAGGTCTCTCAGTCACTCACTCCTGATCGTTCACTGCACAGTGACAGCTGCTACGGGCCTGATGTGTGAAATTGAAACTGATAGAACAAGGTAGCCTATCGGCCCAGCCCAGTGGGCCACACCCCACTGGGCTGGGCTGGGCCGGAACACTTACAAATGTGGGCCGGTAGGATTCAGGCAGGATTTTTCTTTTTTGGCCCTCCGGTCCAGACACAGCACCGGCCCAACCGGGGAAACTACCGGTATTCCCAATGGCCAGTGCGCCCCTGCTACTAACTGCAATGAAATCAAATTCCAGAGGAGCTGAACATCTAATTAATAATAGAGATGCTATTACGGGTGGCTACATTTCAAATGAGTCATTTCTGTAATGTAGTCAGGGCCTTCTGTGAGGTTAATTGAGACCTTGACAGCACTTAAGTCTCTGCTGCGTGTGTGTGTCTTGTCTTGTCTTACCTCTGGCTACTGCGTCGACTCTCGGGCTTCTATGGATAGAGATTTGATCTGAGTGAAAAGCGCACAACGATAGTCCACGTGTGTATGTGCCGGTAATCACAAAAGTGCTACCACTCGAGCGAGAGGATGAGATGGAGATGCAAAGTAGATGTAAAAGGAGTAACGGATGTACAGCAATGAGAGCATTTTCAACAGAGCTTAAGTGTTTTCAGAGAAGGAAATAAAAGAGGCATTTCTTGCATTAATTCACGTTTCTTGAAAGTCGAGGCTGCAGTGATCCTATTTTCTCTCCTGGGAAACTAGAAGAAAGGCTTTTCCAGTGTGGAAGAGCAGCATTGACTTCCTGGGCAAAAGAGATACAGGGAATGACCTAACCCAATATGCGAGGAAATTGTGTCAAATGTTGGAGAACACATTATTACATTCCTGGCTTTGCCAATTAGTTTTCGTACCTCCTACATTTAAGAATAAAAATGATATAAAGAATGAAGAATTTATGAAGGAACATTGTTGGCACCGTGACCAGACTGCCGCGTTGCAACAGTGCAAACGGTCCCCCCCCCTCCCCTCCTCCTCTCCTGTCACTCCCTGATCCCCTCCAGCTTTATCTCCTCCT